GAGGAAGATGGGCACGGATGTTAGCCCAGGGCCAGTCTTCCTCAGCAAAAAGAGGAGGATTGGCAGATGTTAGCTCAGGGCTGGTCTTCCTCACAAAAAAAAAAAAAAAAGATAGCAAAAGGAGCTACATTTTTTAGGAAATAAGAAATGTCATATGACATGATCCATTTCATCCATTTATCGTTCTAGCAGAAACCCTAAGATGTATTTTGTGGATCATGATTGATCTCCAAAACATCAATTTCAAAAGTTTAGAGATGCTTCCAGTTATTCTGAATTTCTTTCACCGTTTCCGGTTCACCAGAGAAGGAATGCACTTAAAGTAGGAGATGGCAGGTTATGTATGAGGTGTTACCATGGCAACTTTGCTGCTTGAGTGACCTGGAGGAAACAGATCCTGGTCCTCATTTTTTTAAATTGCAAATATCAGAAACAAGTCAGGGAAAGTGATAATTGGCCGCCATCCTTAGCATTTGTGTTTGAGGCTACCAACCTATTATTTTGGGGGAAATTTTCTAGCCTAAAATTACAAGATGCCAAAAATAAAACCTATAATAGAAAAGGTCATTATTAGTTATAGGAACAACTTATGTCATTTATTCAATAAATATTTATAGGATGCCTACTATGTGCCAAGCATTGTTCTAGGTGCTAGGGATACAGCAGTGAATAAAACAAAGTACCCTGTTCTCATGAAATTTATATTTTTGAGGACTGAATTCATTTGGGAACTAAGGATTGGAACAACAAGGTGCAGCAGAAGAAAGGCTTATCCGAGATACAACCGAAACTTTTAATTTCAAAGCTTAAGTAATCCAAAATTTGTTGAAAAATGTTTTACTCTATACCTGTCTTTAGTTTTCTCTTTCCAGACTGAATAGTCCTAGTCTTTTAAATCTACTTGAGAATTTTAAATAACATGTTTCTGGTCATTCTCCAGTTCCCTTATTTCTTTTTTCCTTTGTTATATTTAAATTAAAAAAAATAAGTAGTACGTTCACTGGGTACAGTATTTTAAAAATACAAACGGTACAGTGAAAAGCCTCCCTAATATTCCTATCACCGGCTATTAGGCGCCTCCCCCAGGGCTACTAATGTATGTCCATCCAGAAATACTTTCTGCATATGTAGAAAAGTATATGCTCTTTTATCCCCCTTTTCACATACTTTAAAGTTACGATGTTTGATTTTTTTTATAACTTAACTTAGATGTTAGGTATTAGATAACAGGTATTAATATATAAAGAGACTACTCGCTCATTTAAAGCTTCATAGTATTACAAAGTCTGGGTTTATCAGAATTTACTTAACCTCTAATGGACATTTATGATGTTTTCAAGATTTTGCATTATAAAAATATTCTTCAATGAACAATCTTGTATATACCTATGTAAACATATATGTATATTCCTAGAAGTAGAATTTCAGGATCAAAGGATAAGTGCTTTGTAATTGTGATAGATTTTTGACAAATTGTTCTCCAAAGAGGTTGTTAACAATTTACATATTGGTCAGCATTATGAAAGAGTATTTCCCCACATCAAGACTAACATGAAGTATTACCAAATTTTTTGTTCATTGCCAATATAATAGATGAAATATGGCATTTCACGGCTTTAATTTACATTACTTTTATTATGGGTGAGGTTGAGCATCTTTTCATAGACTTAGGAGCCATCTGTTTTTCGTTTTCTGTGAAGATTCTATTCAAATACTTTGCTCAGGGGCTGGCCTGGTGGTGTAGCCGTTAAGTTCGGGCACTCTGCTTCCCCAGCCGGGGGTTCGCAGGTTCGGATCCTGGGCACAGACCAACACACCGCTTGTCAAGCCATGCTGTGGTGGTGTCCCATATAAAATAGAGGAAGATGGGCACAGATGTTAGCCCAGGGCCAATCTTCCTCAGTAAAAAAGAGGAGGATTGGCAACGGATGTTAGCTCAGGGCCAATCTTCCTCACACGCAGAAAAAAATACTTTGCCCATTTTTCAATTGGGTTGTCAAGTTACTTTTTAAAATCGATTTGTGGGGGCTGGCCTGGTGGTACAGTGGTTAAGTGCGCACGCTCTGCTTCGGTGGCCTAGGGTCCATAGGTTCGGATCCCTGGCACGTGCCGACCCACCACTAGTCAAGCCATGCTGTGGCAGCGTCCCATGTAATGTAGAGGAAGATGGGCATGGATGTTAGCTCGGGGCCAATCTTCCTCAGCAAAAAGAGGAGGATAGGCATCGGATGTTAGCTCAGGGCTGGTCTTCCTCACAAAAGAAAAAAAAATTGATTTGTGGGACCTGTTCAAATATTTGGAAAATTAGCCCCTTGTTTATGATATAAATTGCCAAATTTCCCCCATTTGTTTGTGTTTTGACTCTGCTTTTGGAGGTTTTTACTTTGTAGAAAAGTTTTATTTTTATGTGTTTTCATTAATATTTTTAATATGCTTTATACCTTATTTAGAAAGGTCCTCTCCACTCTGAGAAATATAAAAAAATTCTTTCTAAGTTTCTTTTAGTACTTTTATGGTTGGTTATTAGTTTTTTTGTTTGTTTTACATTTAAGTCTTTGATTCACAACTTTTTGTTGTGAGATATAGATATGACTTTTTTTTCCACGCGGCTACCCCATTGCCCCGTTACCACTTACAAAATAATCTACCTTTTCCCTTACTGATTTGAATGTACCTTCATCATAAATTCTTGTATCATTCAGGTCCATATCTGGACTCTATTATTGTTTATTGATTACATAATGATGAGGCACTTCTCTTCTGTGTTACTTATTGCAGTTTTCTTTTTCTGATGCTGAGTCTGTGTGGTAGTCTTTAGTGCTGTTTGCTACTAGTTGTTGATGAGATGTGAGCAGAACCGACGTGTGTCATTTCTGTGATGAGCTTGTCATTGTTGGTCTGAGGCCCTCCAGAGTCTCCTTTTTCCTTTGGCATGGTAACCTACGATGTTCAAGATGACGGCTGTTCTGTTAGCCTCTGTCCCTGAGAATATGCAATGAGGCTCACTTCCTGCCAAGCCATGATGGATTTGTAATATGAGCCACAAGTAAAATTTGTTGTTTTTAGCCACTGAGACTTGGGGATTATTTGTTAAAACAGCAAAACCTAGTTTATCTTCACTAAAACAGTCTTCCTATCTCAGAATATGATATACCTTTCTTTTTGTTCAGGTTGTGTGTGTGTGTGTGTGTGTGTGTGTGTGTGTGTGTGTCCTCCAGGAGCATTACAAAGTTTTCATCTAGCTCTTGCATATTCTTCCATCAGTGTATATCCCAGTAGTTTTTATTTTTGTTATTGTTGGAACTATTGTAAATGGACTCTTCTTCTATGATATCTTCTAACTAGTTGTTATTTGTATAAACTAAGGTTAGATTTCTCTACATCACTTTTGTATGCAGCTGTCTTACTGTATTCAAGCATGTGCAAGTTTTTCAGTTGATATTCTTGAGTTTTCCAGGTATATAATCATTATCACCTGCAACTAATAATTTTTTACATCTATATTTTCTGATTTTTAAACATCTCATTTCTGTCTCTTGACCAGCTGAATTGGTAGTACTTCCAGAACTATGTTAAAAAAATAGCAGTCATATGGCTAAAAGGCCATCTTTGTTCATTTGACTTACCTTGAGTGACAGCTAGGAGTGCGTTTCCATGGCCCCATGTTATTTTTTTCAAAGAGGAGTTAATCTTCAAGAATGTTTAAAAGAGTCATTTACATTTATATTCTCCTTTCTGAAAAAGTTGTGAAATATCCTTAACCTTAGTCAATTTCATTTTTTTGTTGTTATTTTCTCCATTCCTGTGTAACTTGGTTTGCCAAAATGTAAGTCCTTCGTTCATTGCTGATTATTAAAATATAAATATAAATTGTTTAAAAATGTAGTGGCGATAGTAGACATCTTTCTTGTATTTGTCATTAAGAAAAATGCTGGCTTTTGGGTTGAAATACATTTTATCATATAAAAGAAGTATCTATCTGCTCATTTCATTACTTTTTTTTTTTTTGAGGAAGATTAGCCCTGAGCTAACATCTGTTGCTAATCCTCCTCTTTTTTGCTGAGGAAGATTGGCCCTGGGCTCACATCCGTGCCCATCTTCCTCTACTTTATATGGGATGCTGCCACAGCATGGCTTGATAAGCGGTGTGCAGGTCCGCACCTGGGATCCAAACCTGCAAACCCTGGGCCACCAAAGCAGAGCTTGCGAACTTAATGACTATGCCACCACGCTGGCCCCTCATTATGTTTTTTTAAAATCAAGAATGGATGGTGAATTTTGTTAAATCACTTTTTGTTAAATGTAATTTCAGGACTTAATTTTCATGTATTAAAGAAAATATGACTTTCCCCTCAGATCTATTAATATCATTAATTATATTAAACCATCATTGCATTCCTGGAATAAATTGTATTTGTCTTTGGTGTATCCTTCTTTGAATGTGTTATGGAATTCATTTGCTAATATTTTATTTGGGATTTTCTTTTGCATTGATAGTCGTTAGTAAGTTTGGCTGGTGGTTTAATTCTTTTGGTGCTATCTTTGTCAAATTTTGGTGTAATTTAAAGCTTGTGTCATTAAAAAATGTGGAAGCTTACCTTTTTCTATGCTCTGTAATGGTTTAATAGTAAAATTAGCTGTTCTTTTAAGGTTTGGCAGACTTCACTTATGATATTATATGGGCTTGGTACTTTTGGGGAGAAGTTCTTTGATAATTTTCTCAATTTTTATATGGCAATAGTTTGTTTGGATTTATTAGAGATTCTGAAGATCTAAGTGACATGATCTGACCTGTTTCAGTAAAATCATTTAAAAACTGAAATATATAGCTCAACCTTTCCTAAGAATATTTAACTTATACAATTATAACTTTAATCCCATCAAGTATCAATTCATTTTTTCAGAAAATTCTTCTCTAATATTTAATATTATAATAATCAAATCACCAACAGGTATAACAAGGAATAAAACATTGACAGATTAAAGATTCCATAACAAGGATGGCTGGGTCAAGAAGATTCTAACATTATATGTGAGAGAAAATATAAAGTATAATAAACTATTTTTAAATAAAGAAATTTTATAGAATCTCTGTAAGTGAAGATTCCGTTATTTAAATGCTAAAACACAGTTTTAGAGTTGTATTACCACATGATCCATATAATATACCTGAGAAGCAATGATGGAGAGGATGTAAAATTAGACCAGATGAAGATAATGAAACATTTCATTTTCATACATACTGAAGAAAGTCCTCAAAGGTACTAAGTATTGTAGTGACTAGATAGGATTTAATTTATCATTTAATTCATCAACATTTTTTGAATACCCACTATTTGCCAGGGGGTGGAAGGTGGAAGGATACAAAGATGGATACGCCATATATCTGCCCTGAGGGCACTCAAAGTTCACTCAGAGAGACAGTCACACAAACAGATGATAATATAGTGTGATGTGGAAAGAACAATGATGGTGTGTGTACAAAGTGTATAGAAGAGGACTGAGGAGAGGGGAGAATTAGGTAAAGCTTCTAGGAGTCCAGAGCTTTGAACTATGTCTCAAAGAACTATTAAAAGAAGCTGCAGTGTGTGTGTGTGTGTGTGTGTGTGTGTGTGTGTGTGTCTGGGGAAACTGCTTTGTTGCTGGTAGAACACAGAGAATAAGCAAGACGTGGCAAGAGATGAAACTGGAAAGATAGGCGAGATGAAAGAGAATCCTAAATGGCACGTTAAGGAATTTGTATTTTATTTTGTACATGATAGAGGATAACTGAAGAATTCTTAACAAGGGAAGTAAAGTGCCAACAATGTGGAAGGCGGATTTAAGGAGAGTAGAGCTGCACGCAGAGGCCTAAGTTAGGACCAGATGGCATCCGCCCGAAAGTCTTGAAGGAATATAACGGTGAGAGTGGAATTGCTAGTCAAATATTTCCTGTTTTCTGGAAGGGATTCTATGCTAGGGTGATATTCTAACAGCATAACTACTATTAAAGAGGGGCATCCGTGTCGGGCAATCTGGTGGAGTCTGGATAACAAGTAGAATCACTGCACTCTTGAAACAGTGAAAACTGATAGACTAATGGAAATATGTTTCACAGGAGAAGCAAACATTTAATCTAGAATTCTTTGAGGAAACGTTGTATGAACAATGAAAAATTAAATGAAAATAAATGATTTAAAGCTGGCTCTGTACATTTAGGGGGTTATAAAACATCTACAAGGGATAGGAATTTTAGATATATTATTGCATTTAACTTGCAGATGGGGAATCAGGTTCAGAAAGTTCATCCTATGTGCCCAAGTTACAGAGCTAGTAAATGGGAGAGCTGAATTCAAAAAGCCCATTTCCAAAGTCCATACTATACTGTACTACAGATTACAGTACGTTGCCTCGAAATAGGGGACTGTAATAGTTTTCTATGCAAATCCTAATCATGCTTTCTCTTAAATATGGACTTTGAAGTCAGGAAGACCTTGGCTCCAACGTCCAGTTCTGAACCTGTGAGACTTAAATGTGCTGTTTGTAAAATGGATGTTATATTTACTTCAGTGAATGGTTGTGAGGATTAAATGAAATAATATATTTTAAAATATTGAAAATATTTTTATTTAATATAAATTTTAAAATAGAGATAAAATTTCTATCACAATGATTGGACCCACAATAGTAAGGCACCTTCCCTTGGATTGTGATTCTATGTTAAATACTATAAAAAATATTCCTTAGGATGGGGCAATGTTTTATCAATATAAGTGGAATTTGCTAAGAGAGTGGGAACAAAAGGCAGGAAGGGATGAATGGCCATGTTTCTAGATGGGGAATTTTCGATAGATACCTCAGTGGTTACTACTGGAATGAGTGTTTAGATTATTCAAATGAACTATCTTTAAAAATCCATGAAAAATAAAATCCCTAAGTTTGAAATGAAGCTATAAACTTTTCCAAGTAGTGAAATATGATTTCAATAAGGAGAAATTATGGGGAAAATCTAAAAGACTATGTGAATAGACAGAAAAACAGGAGAAAATATGTAGTGTGAAAAACAAGACTTATTAGGAAGACCTAATGCACAGCATAGTGATTATAGTCAACAATACTGTATTATAAACTTCAAAGTTTCTAAGAGACTAGCTCTTAATTGTTCTTACCACAAAAAAGAAATGATAATTAGGTAATAATTATTATGTGATACAGGTGTTAGCTAGCGCTACAGTGGTAATCATATTGCGATATATAAATATATCAAACCAACACATTGTACACCTTAACCTTACACAACGTTGTAATTTATATCTCACTAAAATATATATATATATATTTTAAAAGATGGTTATAAGAATGCGATCTGCTTGCTTCATTGAGAACTGTTATTTGTGCGAATGGATGTGATAGGCATTCTGTAATGCATGCAGAGAAGTGATTAAAAACATATGTAATAAAGATAGTTATAAGAGTGAAAAAATAAAAATCACCTACAGGATATTAAAAAAACTAAGGTTATGGGAAAATTAATTTAATTAAAATTAACTAATTAATTCAGAAAGTTAATACATTTAAGCATTAAATGATCCATATATATAGTAAGTTCTAAGCTATTATAACCCACAAAAGAGAGTATTCCCTCTCTCTCTCTTTATTTATTTATATATATATGTGTGTGTAAAACATGTATATTCAGAAAAATATCTTCTATGGGTTCCCATTGCCTAGCCCCCCAAAAAAATCCAAACTCCTTAACATGCCTTTTAAGGCTTTTCATAATCCAGCCACTCCAGTTTCATCCCCACATCCCTTCACATATCCCTGGTCTAAAAGTCCCAGACTACTCACCACTCTCAAAATATAACTTTCATTTTCTGGCCTTTGTTTATAGTATTCCCTCAACCTGGAATTCCTCATGTCTTTGTTCCCAAACTTTAGTGACAGTAGCATTTGCCTGAGATTTTGTTTAAAATACAGATCCTGAAGCCTACCACCAAGATTTTGATGCAAAAGCTCTGGGAAGCACCCTAGAATCTGCGTTTTCAACAAGCACTCCCCCCATCCTCCACCCCCTGCCAAATGATTCAGTGCCGGGGGTCAGGGTCCACATTTTGAGAAGTATTCTTATTGTGGAAAGAGAGAAGAGCTGGGTTTGCTTCCCAAATCTACTATTTATTAATTAAGCGACTTTGGAAAATTCCTTAACTTTGCTCAGATTCCTTTTCCTCTCCTGTAGAATGGCAACACACTACCTGTTTAGAAGGCCCAGACATGGTGGTGGTATACATTACAGTAAAGAGGGAGAGTACATTGTTATGACTGTTCCTCAAGATCCTATTCCACATCTTATTATGAAGCCTTCTTTATCCCTCTTGTTAGAATTAATTATGCTTTCCTTTTTGCTTAAACAGCATGTCTATATCTCTAGTTAGCATCTATTTCATTCTCTCTTTGACATTGTTAATTTATTAGTCTCCTCCTATTCTGGATTGTAAGTGCTTTGAAGGTAACGAAATTGTCTTTTTCATAATTGTATTAAGTACCTTCTATATGTCTTGTATATATCAATATTAAAATTTTAATATATTAAGATAATAATAAGCAACACTATTATAACACTAAAACACTCTGTGAAGAGTTAATGAAAATTTGACAGCCATATAGATTTTTTAAAGTTTAGTCATATAGACAACTATGTAGATTAAGGTTTCAATAAGCAAGCTTTGTACCCCTATCCCATCCCTCTCTACTTACTAAGGATGAGATGAGACGTGAAAGTAACTAAGGCTAGGTTTGCTGAGTTAGAGTCAGTAATTATATCAATCCAATTCCTGTTAATTTTTTCAAGAAACAACATCATCAAACAATTACAAGCCATCCAAAACACTGGGAAAGGCTATGAGAGCCGGAACCTCTACATAATGCTGAGCAGAATTGATGACTACCAGAAAAAGGTGATGTGGCTCTGGACCAAGAAGCAGAAGTCTCTAGAGCAGAAACGGAATCAGTGCCTGAGGAACATGATATTCTTATTTAGCCAGGTAACCTGTTTCCTACCCTCTCCCCAGAGTGTTGTAAGAAAAATGAAAGTGGTAAGCTTTGAAAATAACATTTACCTGGAGATGTATATTAGTTTCCTAGGGCTGCTGTAACAAATCACCACATACTTGATGGCTTACAACAACAGAAATGTATTCTCTTACAGTTCTGCAGGCCAGTTAGTGAAATTGAGGTGTTGGCAGGGTTGGTTCCTTCTGGAGGCTCTGAGGGAGAAATTTGTTCCATGCCTCTCTTGTAGATTCTGGTAGCTGTAGACAATCCTTGACATTCCTTGGCGTGTAGCTGCATAACTCCAATCTCCGCCTCCTTCCTTCCCATGGCCTTCTTCCCAGTGTGACTTATGTCTTCTCTTCTGTCTCTTACAAAGCCGTGTGTCATTAGATTTAGGACCCACCTGGTTAATCCTGGATGCTCTCATCTTGAGATCCTTAACTTAATTACATCTGTAAAAACCGTTTTTCCAAATAAGGTCACATTCACAGGTTCTGGGTGAACATATCTTTTGGGGGTTCACCATTCAACCCACTACACCATGACTTCAGTGAAACTCCTGAACAGGAATACTGGCTGGACTCTTTAGATGAGAAAAGATTAGAATAGGAGAGACTTCCCACAACGCTCAACCCCTTCCTAGTCAACCTACATCTACCAGCCTCTAGATATGAAACTTCTTGAAGTCACTGCTCTCCAACTGATTCCTAGTGGTTATTTCTCTCCTCAAAACTCTCAGAAAGCAAGTTGTTGGGTTTTTTGTTTTTTTGTTTTTTTTTTTTCGGTGAGGAAGATTGTCCCTGAGCTAACATCTGTTGCCAATCTCTCTCTTTTTTTTTTTGCTTGAGGAGGATTGTCCCTAAGCTAATATCTGTGCCAATCTTCCTCTAATTTGTATGTGCCACCACAGCATGGTTTGATGAGTAGTATGTAGGTCTACACCCGGGATCTGAACCCATGAACCACAGGCTACCAAAGCGGAGCACACAAACCTAACCAGGCCGGTCCCAGAAAGCGAGTTTTAATATCATGAGTTTACAAGAAAGGAGATAAGGGTTTATTTAACATGCTTGCATAGCACCAGGCACAGAAGACCCTGTTAAACTCTGATACCCACTCATTATGTCCCAGAGCCCCTTTGAGATAACCATCAGTATGTTTTGGGGAGTGATAATGACCTTCCACAAGTTTAAGAGCTGAGATTAGAGTTCTTTGCTCTGGGATGACATGCTCCAGCATGGGGTTCCAGAACATTCTTGGAGTTCTAGGAACATTTTATATCTATATATCCTTTTCTTTCACTAAATTAATTAATTTATAAGATCAATCTACTTGCTACTTTAGAAGGTACAGAGAGACTGCTCATCGTAGCTGGATCCGAATCAGACATTCTGAATTTTCCAGAACAGTTACATTTTAATATTAAAGCTCTTCGACCAAAAAAAATTTATATTTTTGACAGTTTTGGTTTGGAAAACATGGCCAATGTAGATGGAGTAAAGCAAGATGAGCTGGCAGTGTCATGAGCTGTCTAACAGGAGTCACAATATCCAGGGTATTTCAGAGGATGAATAAGTCTGGGGTCAGCGAAGCCAGAATCTAGATAATGAAGTGGGTATCAAGGCATAAAGAAGGGAGAGGAAAAAGCAGAAGGGAGAGGAAAAAGCAGAAGGGGGAAGAGGATGGAAATTAATAAATACTTTACACAGAATCAGGATGGTGGTCAAGAGGTTGATTCTACTACCAGATTGTCTGGGTTCAAATCAGCTCCAGCACATACTAGCTGAGAGACCTTGGGCAAGCCACTTAAATTTTCTGAGCTTCAGATACCCATATGTAAGACAAGGATAATAATTGTACCTAGCTCATAAGGTTGTAAATACCAAATGAGTTAATATATAGAAAGCATCTGACATTCAGTAAATATTCAGTAAATGTTACCTATACATTTGCATAGGGCTTAACAATTTATGAAGTGCTTCCGTATATATTATCTTATACAACTCTCACAACAACCCTGTGTTGTTATCCTTATTTTAGAAATGAGGAGAAAGAGGTGCAGATAAAATTAGCAATTGACCCAAAGTCATACAGCTAGGAAAAGAGAGGACGAGGACTAGGGCTTACACAGGACCAAGGTTTTTATATATCATAGCTGCCACCTTTGACATTGTGTGTTGGATGTGGAGTGGAAGTTGAGGGGTGGTTGGAGGAAGGGAGAAAGAGGATGGAGAAAGAAGATTTGCAAATCCACGGAAAAGGAAGAGTCATGGTTTAGTCTGGGGCCAGCTCAGAAGACCTTCCTAAAGACTCTGGCCTTTTCTTTTCATGTTTTCCTTTTTCTGATTTATTTATTTTTAGCTCCAAGATACGTGTAAATTGAATCTTAGCCAACCTATCCCTTTGATCATCCACAAAAAGCAGATACCTGCCTCTACCAAGTTTGTTCAATGGCCATTCCTAGGGCTATTAATACAAGAGGACAGAAAGTCTGACATATTCAAGAAATTTAGGTATGTAGTAGGAAAGACTGACATTAAACTTTCTTTGGATGATATGTGGGACTTAACGCTTTTTTTCCTGCCCAAGAGCTTCCTCTTCCCCACAATTGTGATATGGTGCAGTCAAGAATCTAAGAGAGGATTAATTTTCTTAGCTAATTCAGCAAGAGGCTTATTTATACATATTTCTACTTAAATATTGAAGATCTAATTTCAAGTTCCTTAAAAAAATGAAGCCGATTCTTCCTTACTAAGAAACAAATTATTTTAATACACTATGAAGAAACTTAGAAGCATTATTTTTTTTTTTTTCTTTTAAAGAAGGTAGGAGCTTTGGGAAGGAAGGGGGAAAAAATTTTGCTGGGGAAAAACAGCCTGGATATGGTCTGTGTACTCCATGAAGCTAAGCAGTTAGTTTTAAAATGGATTACTAGGTGAAGTCATGGAAATGCAGCCCAAAAAATCGATTTCAGCAAATTCTGCTGTTTTAACCCATCTCTCAGTCCAAGTGGGCATAGCTAATGTTCCTCAGTGCCAGAGAGGGCGTTATAGGACAGGGTGGTGGTGAGGAGAAGAGAGGAGAATAAGAATCATATATTTTGATTGGCTATGGAGCTCAGGAGAGTTTGGCGCTTCCAATTAGTACTCTCTGATTCTCTAGACAAGAAGACCAAATGGAAGCCATCTGGAATGCTGATCTGTCCACTTCAAGCTACCCAATAACAGAGAAGACATCAATACATTCACTCTGGGCCCAGCTGGGTGGGTACCCAGATATTCCTATGCTGCTCCAATTAGATGTTCAGTCTACCTTCAGAAAATCTCTTGCATTCATTCAATCACAGTAAGTTAAGAATGGGGAGCACACTGGTAATTGGGCCTTTGGTCATATACCTCTTGTTTCCCTAACTTGACTTTCTCTTACAGCACAAGGGAGTTACCAAAAGTAGGTGCTTGGTGTGTGGTTAGACTCACACTAGTCATGGAATAGTACAGGTAAATTCAACATTAGTCTTTCAGTGTTTCTCTTCACAGGACTGCAAATGTTACCACTGGAATAATATAAAATAAACAAGCAAAAAGAACAATTATAATACCACAGAACCTAATCTAACACTAGACAGGTCCACTTTGAATTCCACCCTTAAGGATTTATTATTGGGAGTACCAGAAAGACCGTAGTAAAATGCTTTTGTCTGCTTCATGGTTCAGTAACATGACCTTAAATGCAGTTGTCATATCTAGGCCCAATTTGAGATAGATTCAGTGCTTACATCCCAGGATACACTGAAGAGACTTGGAGAGAGGTAAGGTGGTCATGTGGTTCCACATTTCCAAATTCTGTTAAACCAGATTCTCACTTATACTGTTGGAAATCATTCCAGTAGAAGTAAAGAGTTTTGGAGTCTGCATTACCTCTTTCAAGACAAAGAATTATTTAATGTTCTAAACTAAGAATTTAGAAAATTGAACTTTTGTAACCTGAAAGAGTTCATGGGAGCAGTCTGATTTATTCTGGTGACCTCCAAGTCCTGAGGTAGGAAGAAGCAGTGTTAACTCACAAATTTGTTTAGGTGGCAGTCACCATGAGAGAAGATATTTAAAATTCTATAATAAAATAACAGCAAAAATATTACTACATAATGTATACAATATAAAATCATACACCATGAACACAAGTGTTCTTGAAAAAAAGTTACCAGACCAAATGCAACCTTTAAGTTGAATAAGCATGACTCATAAGTTACAGGTTATAATCAGAAAGCAAATTTATTTTTGTCTCCCATTTTCCCTTATATTTTTTGGAGTGATTAATTAACAGATTATTTTGAGCGATAATATTGCTAATTTAATGTGCCTGGGACAAGATATATAAATTTTTCTTTGAATAATAATTCCCTTATTTCCATTCCACGCCTAGCTTCAACTATTAGATATCCTTCTAACATAACTACCCACTTCTTACTCGTGCTAAATCCTACAAACTTAGTGAGACCTTTACTTTCAGTTTTCTGTTTAGAACGACTCAGAATCAATGAATTTGCAGAGATTTTTTTGTTTGTTTCATAGATTTTTTTTTAGGTATAATGTATATACAGGAAAATTCATCCTCTTTAGGGTACAATTCTGAGTCTTGACAAACGCATAATTATGGCAACCACTAATCTATTTGCTGCCCTTCTAGTTTTACCTTTTCTAGATTGTCATATAAATCAAAGTATACAGTACGTAACCTTTTGAATGTGGCTTTTTTCACTTAGCATAATTCATGTGAGATTCATCCATGTTGTTGCATGTATCCATAAATCATTCCTTTTTATTTACTGACTAGTATTATGCCATTGCACGGCTGTCCCACATTTGTTTATCCATTCACTAGGTGAAGGACATTTGAGCTGTTTCAAATTTTGGGCAATTATAAATAAAACTGCTATAAAAATTCATATACAGATTTTGGGGTAAATGTAAGTTTTCATTTCTCTTAGATAAATATCCAGGAGTGGGATTGCTGGGTTGTATGATAAGTGTATGTTTAACTTTATAAGAAACTGCCAAGCTATTTTCCAAAGTGAGTGTACATCCCTTTACATTTATTCAGTGGGCCTAGTGCTTACTCTGCCTCTGGATGAAAACCTAGGTGGTTCCATGACATCTCTGGTGACATTTCAGTAATATAAGTTTATTTGGTCAGTAATTAAAATGTCCAGAACCATGTATAATAGAACTTTACTTTTGTTTTAAAGTTGAGGCTTCTCCTCTCTTCCAGCTTATACTATTGCAACTTACAGTCACAGAAGGGAAGGACATGAACAGCTTCTTTTCTCTTTTATGGCCTAGTGCTTCTATTCCTACTTTTCCAGCTTGCTGTTATGGAACCCCTTAGCAATCAGAGCTCTGGGAAGGGAGGAGAGAGAAGCGGAAAGGGAAAGTTCTTATTGACTATTACTGTTGCATTTTCTAACATCATCACTTCCTGGATGTGGCCGATTTTTAAAGCTGACTCTTTCACGGGGTACTTTGGTGAGTTCCTTGGGGATCGTCATGACTGGAGATCTCTCATTTGCAGATTTCCTGATCTTGGCAAATACGTTTCTATTCCAACGAGTCGTTTACATTTGTGATACCTCCAGCTTCTCTCTGCTGAGATGTGTTTGTATATTTAGGCAGTCCTCCTGGACAGAATCCATGACAACTCCATGCTACATCTAGTCTCCCGGAAACACTTGAGCCTTTGTCCAGATAAACTTGGACGTTGAAGACTTACCCCAATGCAGCAGTAGCCTCTTCTTTGCTTCTGCCATTAGAACAACTACCCAATCAATCACCCGCCTTAGCTTTTTTTCAGGCATGGAATCAGGTCCCAGCCTATTGGGCCTCCAAAATACAGGGGGCCATGTTAAGCTCTCAGAGAGGAGGAAGGGTAGGAGCACTCTCAAAATCCTCTTCTCCTTGACCATTTCATACCCTCAGAGTGAGTTAGAAGATTAAAAGTTAATTACTTTGTAAACCTTAGTCTAGCGCTTCTCTTTGGAATTGGGTATCTATTGTTAGGGTTGCCAGATTGAGCAAATAAAAATATAGGACACCCTGTTAAATTTGAATTTCAGAAAAACAACAAATGATTTAGTATAAGCATGGTTCATGCAATTTTATACTTATACTAAAAAATTACTTATTGTTCATCTGAAATCCAAATTTAACTAGCATCCTGTATTTAATCTAGCAACGTTTCTATTGTGCTTTGTCAAAGCTTCTATTTTGACGTGCTATTACATACAAAATACATGTTAGGAGATTCTAACTTGTAGAGTTAGATGCCTGAGAACTTTCAGTGTAGGAGAGGCTGAAAACAGTGAAAATGTTTATGATATTATAGAAAAAAGGAGAACTGAAGCCTTGGATTTTTCACTAAAAATGGAATTAATACAGAAAATATCAATTTTTAAGACATCTTAAATTAGTAATAATGGGCACTATATGATCAGTTACTATTTATCATTCTCTCTTTTTTTGTCACTAGAATCTCTTCAAGGTCTTCCTCTCCCAAAAAGGATTATATTTATTTTGCTTTGTGGCAATTAAAGTGCAAACCAAGAGACTTTCTTGACTTCTGGGTTTAGTTATTTCTGCTGTCTTTTAGGTCTCAGTTTAAATAATCACTCTTTCTGAGCTGTCTTCTCTGACTCCTCCTGTGTGCTCCCATAGCATCTTGTAATTAACGCTATCCCAGCACTTACCATTCGGTATGGTAATTGCCTCATTACTTGCCTCCCTTGATTTTAGACAATACGTTTTTTTTTGTTGTTGTTTTTTAAGGAGGAGCTACCTCTTTTTTAAAAAAAAGACTTTATTTATTTATTTTTCCCCCCAAAACCCCAGTAGATAGTTGTATGTCATAGTTGCACATCCTTCTAGTTGCTGTATGTGGGACGCGGCCTCAGCGTGGCTGGAGAAGCCGTGCGTCAGTGCAGGCCTGGGATCCAAACCCGGGCCGCCAGCAGCAGAGCACAGGCGCTTAACCCCTAGGCCACGGGGCCGGTCCTAGACAATATGTTTTGAAGAGATTAGCTGCCTGTTGTGTTCAACTCCTCTACTTTTGCTCTGCCTGCTTTCCTTTCAAAAATATTTACTGACTACTTACTATGCGCCAGGTACTAGAACTAGGCACTGAGATAAAATATGTGGGAAGGGTTCAGGAGACCATGGATGCCAGGCAGAAGGAACAATATGTGCAAAGTTTCGGCATCAATAGAGTATTGCTTCTTTTGCTTTATCTCCTAAAATAAAATAAAATAAAATAAAATAAAATAAAATAAAATAAATAACATAACATAACATAACATAA